GAGTGGACTTCCTCATCCATGCTGGCTGGGGGATTCTGGGAGTTGAAGTCCACTCATCTTAAAGTGGCCAAGTTTGGACAACACTGGCCTAGGGAGACAGGGGGAAGAGCCACAGCCAGGGGAACGGTCAGATAAGAGGTAGCTTAGCCTGCAGCAGGAATGTGGGTGTGGCAAATGTCTCAGAAGGGACCCTCCCTAGCTTCTTGGGCTGTAAAGGTGACAGAGGAGAAATGTACCTTCAGACTTGCAAGATTCTGTTAATGTAACTTTACAATAAAGTAGAATTAATTCATCTGGGCACACTTCCTGTCTGGACTACCTTGCAACCTTGCAAGTCTGAATTTCTCCACCCGCTGCCTTTACAGCAGACCTGGGTTCTTTGACAGAGTTATCGGTGGCACTTAAGGTGCTAAAGGTTGAGAGCCACCATGAAGCTACTTGCAGAGGAGCGCATCTCCCCCCCACACTCCGAACCTGCAGCAGCTTCCTGGCTAATTCCACCCAACACACAATTCCCCCGAGACTGACCCAAGTTCTTCGCCAGTCTGAATGTCCCGGCTGCTGAAGAAAGCAATGCGGGGGAAGCGCAGGTCCTGGTGCAACATGAACACTCGTACAGGGATGATATTGGGGTCACACAAGTGGTTGATGAAGCGGCTGACATTGCCATAATAACGGGCATCGATGCAGTATACCTCGCCATCCTGTAGGAGGAAAGACCAACCATTATCCAAACTCTTCTGGATAGTCCTAGAATCCTCAGGTTGGAAGGGACCTTGGACCTTCTAGTCCAACCTCTGCCCAGGGCAGGAATCCTCAGACCATCCCTGACAAATGGCTGTCCAACCTTGGCTTGAAAACCTCCAGTGATGGAGCTCCAGGAGGCAGGCTGTTCCTTAACAGCTCTCATACCCAGGAAATCTCTTCTTATTTTGAGTTTGGATCCTTCTCTGTATAAAGCTTTCACCCACTGGTTCTTGTCCTACCCTTGGAACCTCTGGAGAATAAATCCACACCCTCTACTCTAGGACAGCCCTTCAAGTATTGGAAGACTACTGTCATGTCCTCCTTTAGCTTTCCCTTCTTTAGGCTAAACATAAGCCAGCATGCTGGCTGGGGAATTCTGGGAGATGAAGTCCACATATCTTAAAGTAGCCAAGGTTGAGAAATACTCCTTTAACTGATTTGCATAGGATTCATGGGGTGCAGGGTTTGCACACACCATCCGCTCTCAGGAGCAGCTCTGGGCCCTCTTTTGGGGGAGGAGCAGAGCTAGCAGGCTGCAGAAGTACTGGAGATGCCAGATCTAGGCTGCAAAAATCTGGAGAACCTCTAGATAGCAGTAAAGAGTACGTTTTCTGCATCTCTTTGCTGCCACCTAGCGATCAACCTAATCACTCAGTCTGCTCCCACCTGCTGCTCCAGCCCCACCCGTTGTGACTCCCTAAGCAAATTCCGGAGTTCCTCTACACACCTGCTCCAGCCCTGCAGATCACAACCAGTTTGTTGCTTTTTTTAAAGATCAAAGATTTGCATCACCTCCTTCATGCCTTAAGGAAGCTGCCGCTCCAGCTTCAACTGTATTTATGCCTCTCTGACCAACTCTGGAAACGAGGATCTGTGCTGTTTTTTTGTAAAAGCAGAGATGTCCTAAACCGCCCCCCCCCCAAGAATATTCTGTTCAATCTTGGGCGGGGGGGGACAACAACAATAGAGCATGCTACTTAAACGATACAGACGATTAATAGAAGAGTTTTGCGACTCCTTAATGACTAACCTAACAGTGATCATTGTTAGTTAGTCATTAAGCAGCCACAAGACCTTCTTTTCTGTTAAAAACAGTCTGCTCCTTTCAAGCAGCATTCTGTGTTCTTTCCCTGCACAAACACCTATTTTTAATAGAAGTATACAACTACAGAGGACAAGCACCATCTTAAAAATGGAACAGCACAGGAAGGCTGTTTTTGGAAAATAGTGCCAGCTGCAACATGGCTAGGTTATTTAAAAGGAGGAGCTATGTTAAGCTTCCCCAGATGTGTGGGGACACTGTGCAGTGTTCAAAATACTTGTAGGACTGCCTACTCCAGCCAGTACCAGCCCAACCAGTTAGCTCTCTTAGGGAGAAACTACTATAAGTCCCATATTTCTGGGAGGTTCAAGAACGCTGGAGGAAGGAAGCGTGACTTTGTGGAAGAGCCCCGCTCTGGAGATGAGGTTCACCCCTCTGTGGATCTTTCGAAAACTCTTGACAAACAAGCTGTTTCGGACAGCCTTCCCCTGATTTGATTTGATGTCGCCATCTTTATTTCTATTTTTATGTTATCATGGTTGTTCTTGTTTTGCTGTTGCTTTATTGTCCCTATTTATGAGGGTTGTACCCTCCACCAACTGCTGGGTTTGTTAAACTGTACTGTGGATATTTTAACTCTGCTGTTTATTCTATGGAACTTGCTCAGAGTTTTTTGTGTTGTGCCTGGACAGAAATATGTGTAATGTTCAGACAAAAAAAATATGAAGATAGGTGGAGAAGCAGTCTTTCATCTGATGCCCAATTTCCAACTTTATTTATTCATCTGTTTAACAATCATGATTAAAAATGAAAATGACAAATCAAAAATATACAAACCACAAAGCACGGAGACTTTACCTTATTATCTAGATCAAACAGGTACGAGTCATCTTCCCTGACGTCAGCTTCTGCATCAGAAATCAGTTCTCCTACATACCTTTTAATGCAAGGAAACATAACAAGGGGAGAGTCGGCTAGAGGATGGCTTGTTCCTTTAAGCCAGCATGTTACAACAAGCCCCAAACCTTGGAGGCATACAGCTTCCTCCCCCCCCCCCCCCCCCCCCCCCATATAAAGGAAAGCTCCAGATGGACAAAGGTTTCACTCACTCGCATATGAAAGTTCCCTGGGGGATGGTCTGAAGGGCACGGACGCCCCACCCCATTTTTGCAGTTCGGTACAGCTGCAGGCGAACCCTTTGATGAAGAATATAAGAATTAGAAAGATGCAGAATGTCAGGTTCAGCCAAAAGAACTCCACGAGACAGTACAGATACAGTTCTGTTGCGTTTATTAGCTTCTACCTCAAAGACAGAAATCTCTCCAGACTGAATCTAAACTTCCCAAGCCAGCAAACCA